CTCCGGGGCTCGGCACACGCCTGGGGCTGCCATCAACTGGGGTGTGTGTGTCTGCATGTGTCCCCTCTGGGTCTTGGGCTTTGGAAGGGCCTCTCCTTTCTGATGAGATGTAGAGCCCTTGGGGCCACGCTGACCAGTGCCCCACATCCCTGGGTGGTCCCAGGGCCATCTTTTCACCCCTCTGAGCAGCCAGGCCACCTGCCCTGCAGCCCCAGGGCTCTGGGAGGGACAGCCAAGGTCAGTGTGGACAGAGGTTCTGTGAGCCCCGTGTGATGCCCTGCACTTGTCCCCACTGGACGGAGCTCAAAGGTCACGCCCCCCATCTAGGTCCAGTTCCTACCACCCAGATGAGGACAACGACAGCCTTCCCCGGTTCCATGTCTGAGAGCCTGCGGCTTCAGGGCTGTTGGGGGTGTCTGGCGGGGGCGAGGGGCTCTCCCTCACCAGCTGACCTTCACGCGTGTCAGGGAGATTCTGTAGGGTTCCCCATGCCTCTCCCCTGGATTCTGGGCTCCCCCCCCAGCTGTCCTGCTGTGGCCTTGTGGGATGCCTGGCACCACGCCGGGGCGGGGGGCGGGGGGGGGGTTGCTCTGTGGTTTCGGCAGCGTCCTCCTCCATGTCCCAGGAGTGAGATGAAGCGTTGGATGACCTCACTGGCCCCCAACCGGAGAACCAAGTTTGTTTCCTTCACTTCCCGGCTGCTGGGTAGGTGCCCTCAGAGAGGAGGAGGCCGTCTGCGGGGGCGGGGGGGGGGGCGCGGCGGGGGCGGGGCGGGGCTCTCTGCGTTCTGATGGGGCAGTGCCTACGAGCCGGCTGTCCCAGAGGCCACGTGGCTTCCCCTGCCCGAGGGGCCTTGAACCAACCCAGAGGGACAACATCGGTGTAACAGCTTCACAAACACGTGGATGCTTAATAATGAAATAAGTCACTGGGTCTTAAGTGACAGGTCCCACAAGGAAACCAAGAGGAATTTGGGCCCAGAAGGCAAACGCCAGTGTTCCTTTGGGGTTGCCAGCTGTCTGAGAACCTTACAAACTATTAAAGGGTGCCGGCCCACCTGCCTCCGAGAGAGGCTGCTAGGCTTGCCTGTGCTTTCCAAGTCCTGGCCCTCCCACAGCTGCTCCCAGCACCACATCCCCGTCGGAGAAGTGCCCTCTGAAGTCCGACATAAGCCCCTCCTGGCCTCTTCATCCCTTTATGCATAGATCGTTTTTCTTCAGAGCCCCTGGCTGTTTTTCAACCACGTTCGCTCTGGAGCCACACCCCCTTCTCCCTCGAACAGGCCCTTTCCAGTTGCTGGGGGAGTCTGCACTGCTCTGTTAGGCGTGCCTGCCCTGCTGGCCGGGGGTGTCCAGGGCTTGCCGGGTCCGGAGCAGGACGGGCGACGGGGGGATGAGGACGTGCCACCTCCCTCTCTCCTGCCTTCAGACTGCCCCCAGGTGCAGTGTGTGCACCCGTATGTGGCCCAGCAGCCGGATGAGCTGACACTGGACCTGGCCGACATCCTGAACATCCTGGAAAAGACCGAAGACGGTGAGGCCTGGGGCTGGGTGCCTCTCCCACTCGTGCCACCCCTTCCCCACCCCCAGGACTCTGCACCGGTCTGAGGGATGGGGGGGGGTGCCTGAGCCCCATGGGCAGAAGCAGACATCACGAGGCTGAGGCTCAGAGACAGGCTGCCCGGCAAGAGGGTGATGGTGGCATTCCAGACTCCCAAGTGGTCAGCTTGGATACGTCTCCCTTTTGGGGGCGGCCTTGGGCAAGTCTCCTGGCTTCATGCTGAGAGGCAGACAGTTGCCAGGGGCTCAGGAATGGGTTCCAAAGCCAATACGTTTGGGACACACCGTGGCGCCCCAGGACCGCGTTCCCCAGGAGGGGGTCCGGGCAGTGCTTTCCCAGCTCCTGGGGAGAAAAAAATCCAAGCGTCTCCAGCAGCAGTTCTTTGAGCAGGTGCCCTCTGGAAAGGCCAGCGGGGCTCCTGCATCTCCCTCACCGCTACTCCCCGCACAGATGGGAGCCCTGGCCAGGACGGAGGCTCAGCCCTCAGCCTCACCCCCACGGCCTGACCCTTCCCGACCCGTCCCTACACAGGGTGGATCTTTGGCGAGCGTCTGCATGACCAGGAGAGAGGCTGGTTCCCCAGCTCCATGACTGAGGAGATCTTGAATCCCAAGATCCGGTCCCAGAACCTCAAGGAATGTTTCCGAGTCCACAAGATGGACGACCCTCAGCGCAGCCAGAACAAGGATCGCAGGAAGCTGGGCAGCCGAAATCGGCAATGACCCCCAGCCCGGGTCACCAGCCTGGCGGAAAGACGCGGGTGGACGGGCCGGAGCAGCTCCGGGCAGGCAAACCCCGAGGAACGGTGGAGGGGCTCTGGGGGGAGGCAGGCGCCTTGTGCAGGAGCCACCCCCACCCCCTCCCTGCCGCGTGCTGAGTGCTCATGTGTCTTGGCCCCCTCGCTTGCAGACAACTGGAGAAAGGGTGCCTACGTCTTTGCTGCATTTATAAACGAGAAAGGGTATTTTAAACAGTATTCTCCCACCTGTTCCTCTTGTCTCTTAGAGGGGGTGGAAGTGGACTGGCATGCTCCAGGGGCCTTCCCAGGCACTGGAAGAGGCCCCACACCCCGGGGTGTCCCTGGCCAAGGACAGGCTGGAAGGATTGTCATGACCCCCTGCACATGTCCTTCTCTACCCTGGAAGCCATTAGAATCCACCAGGCGTGCAGATGGACCGCCTTTGCCTGAGCTTGTTGAGCAGCCCTTGGTCTCCGATTCAAAGGACCGAGAGACCAAATGCCTCTGTCCTCCCCCCTCCCCAAGCCTCTGCCAGCCCCTGGCTGCACGGCCAGGCCCTGCTTCATGGCAGGCCTACCAGAGCTTGGCCGAGGGCCCATGCCACCTCTGGCTCCCTGACAAGCTGGATGTAACTTGTGTCTTCTGGCCCCTTCAGGAGCCCAGGTGTTGTGAGGAATGAATTGGCCACTGCATCCTGTATCGGTTTTGGTTCCGAGAAAAGCAAATATCATTTTTGGCTGCATTAAAAGAAGCATCATATATAAAATAACGGAGATGAAGCTCTGTTCTTTATTGCTCTGCTGCACACAGGAATGAGGCTTTTGGTTCTGGGCAGGGAAAGAGGAACTCCTTGCAAGGCCAAGGGAGTAGCATGTCCTGAAGGAGGAGGTTGAGGTGGCTTCCAAGACAGGAAAAAGCCAGGGTTAGGACCTCAGGGTGGAAGATTTGGACCTCAACTTGTGGAAGGATTCCAGAAACAGAAGATGCTCTTTGAGGGAGCTGGGGACACCCTTCTGCTGCAGTGGAAGTGAGAACGCAGGTTTGGGAGACCACAGTGCAACAGAGGTTGTCAGTGGGCAGTGATCCCACAGGAGATCTAAGACCAGGCATGGGGCCGGGGCTGCCTTCCTACCTTGGACACTTCATCCCACTTCTGGTGCTAGCAAGTTACCCAAAGACTGCAGCTCCTTGCCCAGCCCAGGTAACCCTCACAGATACCCCACCCCCACCCTTGATTCTGTCCTGAAGTGTGGAGGGTCTGGAATCTGACCCTGCCCAGCCTTGCATGCTTGGGACCACACTCTTTCTGCCAGGACACTCTTTCCTCCATGCCAGAACAGGCCTTTCGTTAGAAGCCCAGGATTTGGGTCAAGTGGGACTTTGTAGCGTCTTCCCACAGGCAACATGACTCCTGGCATCCTTGAGACCTGAGACCCTGTGAGAATTGGATGGATTTCTGGAAGATGCATACATGTGCAACACTCTGGCTCGACAGTGAGGGGCTGATGCTCATGGGGCCTCTGTGATACACCCCCCGGGGAGTACCCATACTTAAGTCCCCCAGCAGTGGGGGCAGGGGGAGAGGGGCCATTCCTGAGCCCTAAGCTGCTCTTGGGGGGTTGGGGGGGACGACCCTGGGACAAAGGGGAGGGGGTGACCACTGGTCCTGGCCCTTGTCCAGTTTATCTTCTTGAAGCTGGTAAACAGCATGCTGATTTGGATCACCTGCTCTAACTAGGGCTTTGGTTAGCAGAGGTTATGTGGAATGAAATAATTTAAACAGCTTCATGAGAACTGGTCAGTTTTAGAACAGTCCTTCCTAAGTGGAAACTTATAAAGCTCATGTGTTTGGGGCTCATCTGGAGAATGCAGGAGGAGAGAACTGGTCTTAGCTGGAGCAGGAGTGGTCAGGCACTCAGGGAAGCTAAGGAGGCCAAAAGAGTTGCTAGAAACAGTGAAAGAAGAACAGCTTCCCTCCACCGGCACCCACACCTAGGCCCAGGGTATCAAACCATCACGGGGTGTGCAGACAGTCCCTCCTCCAGGTCTCCAGTCTTCTTTTCCACTCCAAAGGGACGCAGTTCAGGCTTCTTCCCTGCCATGCCCTGAGCAGCTCAGCCCCTATTTTAAATCTCTCTCTCTCAATCATAAAAGCTAGGCTTCCCGGGAAGTGTGCAAAACGACATGACCTAGAAGGGAGAGCCAGGGCCAAACGCGGGGTTGAAGGGAGGCTGCCTGGGACTGTGGTCCGGTTGCTCCTGGGGCTCCCTGGGGTGGAGGGGTTCCCGGAGTTGCTGGAGAGACGGGTCTGGCGCTGCGAGCCCGCAGATGGGGCCTGGCTGACCAAGTCAAAGACGCCTCCGCCCCCCTAAACCTCCCCCGCGCCGCAAATAACGCAGGCTCTCGTTGGGAGCCCCCACGGCTCGGCCCGCCTCTCCTGCGCTCGCGCGGCCGCGCGTTAGTCTGCGCCCGAGCGCAGGGGGCGGGCCCTGGGCACTTCGGGGACGGGGGCGTGGGCTGCCGTGCGGGGGGGACCCCGCGCGCACTCGCGGCTCCCGCTGGCGCCCCCGCGCGCACGTGTTGCGATGTCGCCCGCCCCGCTCGCCCACACACGCACGCGCGGACACACTCGAGACACGGGGGCGCCACCGGGGGTGCAGCCGAGTCGCGCCGCGGTGGGGGCGCGGCCCCTTTATTCGCTTCAGGAGGCGGAAAACTTTCTCAGCGCGACGACCACGAGCGCCAGCACCACGCAGGTGGCCAGCAGGGCGGCGATGACGATGGCCGCGATGGCGCCGGGCCCCAGCGAGCCTGCGGAGGACGGAGGGCCGGTCAGCCCCGCGACCCCCGCCCGCCCGCCCCGCGCCCCCGCCCCCCGCCCGGCCGGCCCGCGCGTACCGCCGCCCTGGTCCAGACGCTCCCGCGCCGTGCTGTCCTCGGGGCTCGGCGCGGCGGTGGGGGCCGGGGGGCCGGTGGCCGCGGGCTCCCGGGCGGGGCTGGTGCTCTCCACGGGGCCCTCTCCCGACGGCAGCTCGGCGGGCTCGTTCCACAGGGTGGGCGCGGGCTCCTGCGGGCCCTCGGCTGCAAGGCCAAGGACAGGCGCTGGGGCGTAGGCCGCAGGGCCGACAGGGACGTGGGCCCCGCGGTTAACCGGCTGCGGGACTATGGGGTCAGCACTGTACCAGGCCTCCCGTTTCCCAGGCGCTCCAGGGTATCTACTGTGGCCAGGCTGCTCCCGAGCCCGGTGAAGACAGACTGATGGGGGGCGGGTGGAGACCAACAGGTTCTCCTAGTAAACAGCTGTGAGGACCCTGCGCTGGCGACAGAGCTTCGGGACTGCAGGGGCAGGGCACTTCACTCCGGCCCGGCCCGCCGTCCCTCATCTGAACTGCTGGGCTCTGCAAGCCTGGGTGAGATGCCTGACGCCTGTCAGAGACCCCTCCCCCTGCAAGGCAGGCAGGTCAGCCTTCACCCTGCAGAAGAGGCCAGGAAGGTGAGGCAAACTCTCCCTTCGGGAACCAGGGTCCCTGCCTACCCAGAGCCCCATGAAGGGACTACTCCCATGAAGGAGGTGGGGAGGAGAGGCAAACTCCTCCTTTGCCCCCCCTCCTTTGGCTTAATCTGGGCAGAGCCACACAGCCCCCAGGACATGGGGTCCAGCACCCACACATAATCCATGTTCTGAGGCTTAAACCCCAAGGGGACTCTATATCCTAAGAAACTGATGCCAGCATATTGCTGCTTCCAGACGGAACAGGGCCAGAGGGATGGGCAAGGGTGTCTGCGGTCAGTGCTAAGGGAAGCCCCAAGAAAGGGACGATGCCCCCCCCCCCGCCCCGCCGCCACAAGCTGGGGCTCAATGAGCACATCAGTCCCTGTGCAGCATTTTCTGCATTTCTGCTCATGGGTTGGGAGTTAGCAAGGTTTGGAGTACCCAGGGGCCTCAGGGAATGGGGGCAGGCTAAGACTGAGAGGACTGTGTGTTGGTAACCCCAGCCCCATACTGCTCCCCTCCCCACCAAGGATCCTGGTCTGAGGAGCCCCACAGCACTACCCCAACCCTGGACCCATCCATCCTTCCCAGACAGGAGGTCCCAGCCACCCAGTTAAAGTTCAAGACCAGAATGGCAGACAGTCTCCAGGCTACCCCTCACCGCCCCCGGCCCTGGCCATTGGCTTTAGCAGGGTCAGGGCTCCCCAGTGCCTAATCTCAGTTGTGATCCGAGGATGCTCAGGCCCCACGCAGTCCCTAGAATGGGCTCAGCGGGCATCACGACACACCATCTTGTTGGCTCCAGCTGCTAGGAACTCTTGTATCCCTGCCTCAGAGTTGAGAAAACCAAGGCTTGGCGGGGACACACACACACACACACACACACACCACACACACACACACACACACCACACACACACACACACACACACACACACACACACACACACTTGGCGGGGACACACACACACGAGTGCTGCTGGGACTCTAAAGCCCCCAGACGATGAAGTAGCAGGATACACTTCCCCAGAAACCGCCAGGGAAGTTGTGTCGTTCCTGCAGCTCTAGCCAGCCTGCCTACAGGTGCCTGGGGCACATTTCCCTCCACAGGCTTCACCCCTGAGAGCTCCCTCTGGCCCAGACAAGCCAGAGCCAAGCTGCTTTCGGACTTGCCGGCTTCCAGAGAGGGGCTGTTCTGGGAAGACACAAAGGGACTTCTGGTCTTTCCTGCTAACAGCGCCCACCTGGGGCAAATCACAAGGAAACATCAGCTAAACCCAAATTCAGGGTCAGTCTTAAAATAACTCTGTGCTTTCAAAAACATCCAGGTCAAGAAAGACAAAGAAACGCTGAGGAACTGTTTCGGATTAGAGACCGAGGAGGTTGAAGGCAGCATGTATTCCTGGATGGGGGCTGGGGGGCGCTACGGGGTTTACTGGGGAAGTATGAATATGTAGCTTAGATAACAGTACTATATCGATGTCCATGTCCTCATTTGGATAACTGAATGGTTATGTAAATATCCTTGTTCTTAGAAGCACTTAGGGGCCAAAAGGCATGAGGTCTACAACTTACTCTCAAGTGGTCAACATTCAGATGGGTCAAATGGGGAGACAGAGAGAGGAAGAAGAGCAAATATGGCAAAGGTGAATCTAAGAGCCTGCTGGAGTTACCGGATTATTTTTGCAACTTCGATGTAAACTTAGAATCTCTTCCCAATCAAACTCTCCAGGACTCCCCAGGCCCTGCCCCTGCAGCCTCTCCCAGGCCTGGGCTGGATCAGTTCTGAGGCTCAGCTTGCAGGCAGGGACCCCTGTCCTATTTCCCAAGGGTTACCCCAGCTGGCATCCCTTTTCAGAAAACAGACCTGGCAAGGAGGCCTCCCACGGGCAAAAGGTCCCTGGCACACAGTGTGGGGGAAGCTTTCCGCTAGTAGGGCCTGAAGCTGAACCAAAAGGTTGGTGTCTGGGGGCCACCCTGGCCCCCCACCAACTGCGAAGACCACCCTGTCCTCTGTTGTCCCTGCCTGGGAAGGCAGGGGTCTGCAAGCCTCATAGCTGCTATGGAAAGTGCCAGGCCCCAGACATGCCTGCCTCAGGCTCCCAGGGGCTGAGCCAGAGAAAAAGCCTGAGTATGTCCACTACTGGGCCCTGCGGTCTGGGGCTCACAGACTGCCGCCTGTCTTCCCAGATAAATGGACACGCCACTGGCCCCCACTTGCTCCCCATACACCCACGGCAGGGAGGCCACCACAGGGCTACTGGGTACCAGAGCCAGCCAACCTGGGTAGCATTTGGGGAATCAGCTGCCTGCAGCAAGCAGGGCCCAGGTAAGCATCTACCTCTGCCCTTTGCCAGAGCCCAGGAGCCATCTCTCGGGGAGAGTGGGCCACCCTCTGAGCAGGGCAATTGGGGGCGCACCCAGGCCTTCTCTCCTTCTCCCCCCTCGTGACCCAGCCTTACTCTGCTGCTCCCCACAGAAGCCTGGATCGTCCCTGCCAGACACAGTGGCTCAGGCCACCTCATCCCTGCTGTGTGTGCCCACCTCTAACCCTCCTCCAACACTCAACCAGTCCCTAAAGCTTGAGGGGCCGAACCTACAGGCTTCCAAATCAACACAGCTGGGTCCAAAGCCTGGCTCTGTCACGCTGTCACCCTGGGACCCCAGCAGACTGACTTCGCTCCCACCCTCCCCGACTTCATTTCCCAACCTGTGAAATGGAAGTTGGCCCATGTCTCTCTCGGCCCACAAGTAGTAACTGTGCTGTCACTGCCACCGTGAGCTGCTGCCTCGGCCCCAGGGCCTCTCCAGCCGGACACAGGCCAGCTGGATCTGTGTGCTGTGCAATCTGCTGCAGCTGACCATCACGGGAGACCCCCAAGGCCTCATCTGCACCCAAACAGCCAGGGCCCCAAAGGCCTGCCAGCTCCCTGCAGCTTATGCAGCCCCGAACTGCAGCCTGGACTCAGCCACCAGCCTTCCAGCAAAGGAGGTGCAGGTGCCAGGAAGAGGCCAAAGCCTTTTCTTATCCTCATCTACATGTCTCTGTATTTTCTCAATTTGCTGTAATAAAAGGGGAAAACAAAGTTTAAAGGCAATAACCCACTTTCCCCCCAAAATCTGCCTTGGGGAGCCCTAAACAGAAGCAGTTGTCAGGGAATTTGCCAGCAGGAGGGCCCGTCTGAGCAGGAGTGAAGATGAGGGAAGGAAAGAAAGCCAGGCAGAGGGAGCAGCACAAGCAAAGTCAGGGAGGATGGAGCCCACGGGCATGGACGGTGAGCTGTGAGCCCCAAGGGGGATGTTGGGTGCGGACAGAGAGGCGGGTAGGACCAAGGAGGGCCTGTGATAGACCTAAACTTAGAGGACCAGAGTTAGCAACATCCTGCGACTCTGACCAAGCAAACCAGGAGAAGTGGAGGGCCCGTGACACTGCCACAGGCCCAGGCACAGTGGGCTCTTCCCCAGCCCCGCCGCCTCCAGCCACCCTGCCTTTCAGTAAATAGGTTTGTTTAACACTCCCTCTGACCGCGGGGCCCCGAGGCCAGGCACCCGTGCTCACAGACTGCCTTTGTGCCAGCCATGAAGGGCCTTTTTATCCCTGCCCTGGCCTCCCGCCTGCTCAACCTGGCCTGCTCCCCCTACCCCAGTAGCTGCAGCCACAGGCAACCGACAGGGAGGGCAGCAGGCCAGGCCTGGACCTCAGCCACGGGGCCACTCCTTCCCTGCCTGCCTGCCTGCCTGCCTGCCTGCTACAGGACCCCAGCCCACCAAGCAAAGGGCAGGGGGCCTGCTAGACCTTCTACACACCTGCTCAGAGCTTCTAGCCCAGAGTGGGGTGGCTGAGGGCCTCCCAAACATCCTCCCTCCCAGAACGGCAGGAAGAACCACAGCCAGCCAAAACCCCAAAGACTCCGGGGTGGAGTTGACCTGCCTGTTCTCGGTAGGACACATGGAGGGAGGTGAGTCCAGGTGAGGTCCTAGAGGCGCCAAACACGTCCCCAAACATTCCTGTGGCAGCGGACAAAGCCCACCCACCCAGGCTGTGTATGCACAGTCTGATCCAGGCCTCTGGCCAGCATCCTGGGCTGGACGAGCTGGCTACTCAGGGAACGAGAAACTGCACAGAGCTCTCCAGGCGGCCCCAGGACCTGGGCAGCCAGGCGCCAGCACCTTCACCTCTACCCACTTTGACCACCAGGCAGGGGTGGAGTGGGGCGTAGGGTGGGGTGTGGGGGATCTGCAAGGACCACAGTCCCAAGATCTAGTCCATAGAAGATGCCACCCGATACTCAGGTCACTTTCCCAATTCCTGGGGCATCCCACCAGCCCCTCGTCTTGCCCAGCTGGCACATCTCCCACCTAAAGGGAGGCTGGGCACTTTCCCAGCCTATATGGAGAGGTGGTTCTGTCCCAAGACCACCCTGCACCCAGAGGGGCTGGGGACATTTATTCACGTTCCCCCAACATTTACTGAGCGCTCCAGGATGCCCGCCCCACCCTGAAAGCTCATGTGTCTGAATTTGGTAGGCCCACAGTCCCCCACAAGGGAGGCAGAGCTACTGACTGTGGTTATCACCATGATACAGATGAGGAGAGGTACAGAGAGGCTGAGACGCGGTTAGCAGACAGAGGAGCAAAGCCAGCCTTCTTCCCAGGGCGCCTAGAGGGGCTTGCACACCCGCAAGCAACTCACCGCCCCCCGTTTCTTCCTGGTGTTTGTGCCTGTGTGGCTGTCCCACCAGGCCTCACACCCCCAGCAACTCTCCCCAGGGCCATGCTCAGGTGGCTGGCATCCAGTTGCCACCCCTACAGATCCACAGACATTCCCCCAAAGCCCATGCTGCAGAGAAGGTCTCCAGGGGTCTCCCCACCCACACCTCTCTCCAGCCCCAGGACCCCCCCCCCCCCCCCCACCCACAGGGGCCCTGAAATACTTCTCCTACAGCCCACCTCACAGCCAACAGAGACTGCTTTCTTCTGGAGAAAGACCATCCACGACCTGTCTGTGCTTTTTCTCTCTCAGGCTTTGAAGCTGGCCTGGGCCAACCCCTCCCAGCAGAGGGCCCTAGAGCTATGCCCAGGCCTGGGGCTGAGGTCCAGGGAGCCTGCCATCCTGAGCCTATTGGGACCTTCCTTCTCACTGGACCCCAGACCCAGCCATTTCGACATCAGTACTGAGGCTAAGTCCAGTGTCCTCATCACGGTTTTGCTAAGGAGTCTCAGGCCCTGTGCTGCTCTTTCTGGAATTCTTCCTGGGCTGGGAACATAGTACTTGGGTACTCACTCTGGAAGGTCATTTCAGAAAGCCAGCACAGAAGGGCTTACAGGGTTAAAAAGTGAAACAGCAGGGCTCTGGGGCTTTCTGTCTAGGAGCCCAGGGCCTCTGGTCCCTCAGCTGTTTGCCCTAGGCCTAGTGCCCCCTCCTGACTCCCAGATCTGGAAGCCTTCAGATTTTAGCATGCTGGGGTAAGCCCCGTGTCCCCCAGGCAGCTAACATCCCTGGCCCTGCTCCCTACATCACCCCCCTGCTTCAGGGGCCATCGTCCCCACGGCTAGCAATTCCCAGGACATCGACTCGGCTCCTGGCAGCTGATCTCATAGGAGCCCTCCGCAGAATCACCCCAAACGGCGGCCATCTCCTGGGAAGGGCTTCTACCCAGTGGGCCACAAGGTGCTTCCTGGCCCTGGGCGGCTGGTGGCAGCAGTCAAGGGAGCACGCTTACCTGTGAGCACTGCAGGGGCCAGGGCCCCGGAAAGGAGCAGCAGTGCCATGCGCAGGGCCGCACGGAATGCCATCCTGGCCAGTGAGGGAGCGCGGCTGGAGAGCGGGATGCACCGAGGACTGAGCTAGTTAACTTCAGAGCGGTGGGAAAGAGGTATCAAAGGGCTGGGAAGGGTTTTCATCAATGCAAACTCTGTCCTCCTGGGACACCGTGCCCGCCCCCCACACATAAGCACGCGCACGCGCGCGCACACACACACACACACACAGTAGAGCTTACAGAACAGACTGCTTTCCTAACTCCAAAGTAGCCCCACCCTCAGAGAGGGAATAAAGAGGAAATTGCTCTTTCCCTCTCTCCCTGCCCCCAGCCCTCACTCTCTCTCTGTCTCTACCCCGCCCCCCGCAAACACACACTCCTCAGCCACTGGAAGTAAGATTCTCAAACTTCAATGTGCAAAAAGACTCACGCAGGGAACTTGGAAAATACAGATGCCTCCAGCACTCTGTATCCGAGGGTCATGGGTAGGCCCAGGGGTCTGCATTTTAGTACCTATGGCCCTGGCTCAAGAGACTGAAGCCCAGGCAGTCAGCACTGCACAGTCTGCTCACTTTGGGGCTCCCGATGCCTGGTGGGGAGACAATACTCAACAGACCTTGTTAATAACAGAAGCACTTTTAAAGCAGTTTCAGTCCAAACCCTCAGCAGCTCTATTTCCAGAAAAGCTCATGTCATTAAATGCCCTGTTTCTTCTTCTTGCTCTCTGTTCTCCCAGATGCCTGAGACTTGAAACACCACCTGTGTCCTCCTGGCATCTGTGTCCAGCCCGGGTCTGGTGCAGAACTTCAGCCCTACCACCCACGGCCTCCCCAACAGCTCCATGAGTATCTAAAAAGTATGTCCAATTTAATGTGTCCAAACCGACCTTGACTCCATGCCTCCCTAGTCCTGCTCGGTCAGTGGAACCCCAGCCCCTGACCTTCCACATGTCCTAGCCACATAATTAAAAGTTATCAAAGGTTTCTCTCTCCCTCACTCGTCTAATCTCTCAGAAAGTACTGCCAGCACCCCTTACCTCACACACTTTGTGCCCCCCAACCCCCCACCCCCATTCTTAGAAAAGCCACCTTAAAGGCTTGCCTTGGCCCTGCTCAGTGTTCCAGTCCACTGGTCTTGAATAAGTTCCCCCAACACACCAAACGTGGTCCTGTCTCAGGGCCTTTGCACTTGCTGTCCCATTTCCCAGAAAGCAGTTCCTCAGCTCATTACGTGGCTATCTCCTCATCACCATTCAGGTCTCAGCTCTGATCAGCCAGCTTCCCATCTACCCATCACATCACGTACTTTCTTCTTAGTACTTATATTTACGTAAAACTCTCATTTCTTTCTTTTTTTTTTTTTTTTGGTGAATTTTCTGAGGAATAACATATATACTGTGAAAAGCACAGATCTTATGTTTACAGCTTGAGGAACTTTTATGCGTGTATACACCAGGGCAAATATCACCCGAATCAATATGGAACATCTCCAGCACACCAGCCGGGTCCTTCCTGCCCCCCAACCCCGTCAGTGACTCCAAAGCATGATTCTGTCTTCTGTCACCATGGAGGAGTTTGGTCTACTCCTGAACTTCAAATACATAGAATCATAGGCTATGAACTCGTTTCTGGCTTTTTGTTGTTGTTGTTGTTCAACATCCTGTGAGATTCATCCACATTGCTGCATGTAGCTGCTCATTTGTTTTTATTGCTGAATAGTATTCAATTATATGAATTAACCATTCTTCTATCCATTTTGCCATTTATCTGTGTCCATATGGGTTCTTCCTAGAACTTCTATGAATCCAGCTACTGTGGATATTCTTGAACATGTCCTTTGATGAACATATCCACTAGCTTCTCTTGGTTATAAATCTAATGACAGAATTGCTAGGTCAGAGGGGAGGCAGAGTGTTTAGCTTCTGTAGATGCTGCCGAGCTGTCTGCCCAAGTGTTCGTTTATAAAGTTTATACTTTATAAGCAGTGTGAGCGTTCCAGGGGCTCCACATCCCCACCCACACCGGGCATTGCTAGCCTTTGGTTTTCTAGTCATCCTGATAGGTACGTAATGGTGTCTCATTGCAGATGCATTTCCATGACTGACACAGTTGAGCACCTTTTCATATTTAGTGACCAAAGGATATCCTCTTTTGTGAATGGTCTGCTCAGTTTTCTTTGCCCATTTATTAGAGTGGTCTTTTTACATTTATTTTGTTTGGTGTGTGTATCCAAGATAAACATCCTTTGTCAGATATAGGTAATGGTGCCGTTAGATGAAGTGTTCATAGATTACCTATCCCCACCCTGTGACTGTAAATTCCAGGATGGCAGGGGCTGTGTTTTATTCACCAATGCATTTCTAAAACCTAGCACCACCGTGTCCAGTATGCAACAGGAACTCAATATTTGGATTCAACCAGTTGGGATTTCTGGGATAGAGTTAACAGGGAGCATCTCCTCACTTGTTTATTCATTTGTGTTGCTTTTTTGCTCCCAGTCCCCCATCCTCAACTTTCTGTGCCCTGCAGTGTAATGTAGCAACATAACCCAGTCAGATCCCTACATGACACTTGAAACTTCCGTCCTAGCTGACTTCCTGTTAGCATCTGCCAATGGGAGGCGCTCTTGTGAGATGCAAGGCGGGAGGGGAGAAGTGACCCTTTCTGACAGCTAAGAACATCAGGGACTCAGGGTCAGGTGGTGGCGGCTTCAAGGGCAGCCACATCAAGTTGGAAGTCCAGGCTCTGGGTCCTTGCCAGGAGCCTTAGTTGACAGTGCTATGACCTCTGAGGAATCTTTCTCCAGTCCTGGCTGATGTCAGTTGCGTAGGTGCAGCTGTCAATTTATGAGCAACCTTCCCTTCCCTTTTTTGCTCCTTTAGTCCTTTAGACATCCTAAAACATATCCCTGCACTAAATCTCTTCTGTCTGAAATACCTAGAGTGAGCTCTGTATCCAAGTCAGATCCTGACCAATACTGAGCTTTGCACCTGGAATAGTCCTGAGAAACAGGCCCTCAAAGATGTGTTTCTGAGTTTGGTTCACAACCATGTTTGAGCTTGAACTGCAGGAAAAACCTCATTGCCAGTGGAAAATCTGATCTGGAAACGTATGGCACGCCATATGTTAAGACTTGTGGTTGTTTTTGTATGAAATGCCTATTGAAGACAAGGCTTAAGAGACCAAGTAGATAATGCATTTGATGTTTTTAGTGGTGATGATGATCAACAGGATAGTGAAATGAACTGGCTACTTTTTACTTCACTGGGTGCTCACAGAAAACGGTAAGTGCAGGCTTTAAATTTGAAAGCCAAGTCATGATCAGAATACTAGACTGTGGCAGTCTTAAAAAAAAGATATCTTATTTCTTGTGGATACAGGGCATAACTGGCTGCAAACCAGGCTCCAAGTTTGTGTGAGTTGCAGAACTACAGTCTTGAATTCACAGCTGTGCCAATTCTCTTAGGTGAAACCTATGACACTGATTGGAAAGGAGTGAAACCTTGAGATGTGGAATGGGGATATTTGGGTAGACTCAAACAAATCTGACTCTTCCACTCACAAATCCTCAGGCCTCCCCTGCAAAAGCAGCAGACTCCTTAGAGAAATGGCTAATGCCAAATCTGGGAAAGGAAAAGTAGATGATGAGCGTAGAACATCTCATGCCAAAGAAAGGAAGTGCTCAAAAAAATGATGGGGACATAGCGAAAGGACACAAAAGACAACTTGGAGGGGCACCTAATGAACAATCTGTGCATGAAAAATATTACCAAATTGTAACCTATAGTGTGTGTGTGTGTGTGTGTGTGTGTGTGTGTGTGTGTATGGAAAGCTCTTCCTTAGAGTGCTAATAAATATAAAAGGAAAGTTTGGCAAGTATTAATTGTTCAAGCAAGAATCAATGGCTGCTAAAACTAGTGGATAAAAGTCTGATGAGGAGGGGCACTTGAGCGGCTCAGTCGGTTCAGTGTCTGTCTTCGGCTAAGGTCATGGTCACAAGGTCCTAGGATCAAGCCCCACGTTGGGCTCCTGATCAGCCAGGAGCCTGCTTCTAACCGCTCCCTCTCCCTCTGCCCCTCCTCCCAACTCATGCTCTTTTTTTTTTAAGATTTTATTTATTTATTTGACAGTGAGAGAGTGAACACAAGCAGGGTGAGAGAGAGGGAGAAGCAGGCTTCCCGCTGAGCAGGGAGCCCGATGTGGGGCTCGATCCCAGGACCCTGGGATCATGACTTGAGCTGAAGGCAGATGCTTAACGACTGAGCCACCCAGGCGCCCCTCATGCTCTTTATTTAAATAAATAAAATCTTTAAAAAAAAAGTCTGATGAAGGATATTTACAAAGTCTCAAAGTATCTCCCATTTAAAAAAAAAAATCATTACAGTGGAGAAACCTGGAAGACACCACCTTAATCAAGTGATTAAAATTAACATCACCAGTAATGGTTCAAACCAACATCATCATGATATGGTACATCAAAGACATAACATCACTTCTGTATTATTCCTGCCCAATTGCATAATCTCAACCAAATCCTGAGAAAACACCAGACAACCCCAAATTGAGGGCATTCTACAAAACAACTGTCCTGCACCCTTAAATGTCAAGATATAAAAGACAAAGACAGAGGAACTGTTCCAGATTAGAGGAGACTCAAGAACATGACAACTAAATACAAAAAATAATCATGGATGGCATCCTGCATCTTGTTTTCTCCTTTTAAAAAATATTAGCGGAACAATTGGTGAAATATTAATGAAACCTGAATATTTAGTATTATATCATGTATTTCCTAATTTTAATAATTACACTGTGGTTATGTAAGAGAATGTCCTTGTTTCAACGAAACACACCCTGAAAAGGGGTAAGGGATATAATGCCTGCAGCTTGCTTCCAAACAGTTCATAAAAAAATAGTTACGGAGAGTCATTATTGAGAAAAACGGATTATCCAAAAAAACTGATAAAGCAGATGTGGTAAGATGTCAGCAGATGGGAGTGAAAGTCATGTTGGAATTCTTTCTACTGTTCTTGTAAGTTCTAAGTCTTGAATTATTCAAAATAAGGTCCCCTCTTCCCCTCAAAAGTCACTATTTTTCAGTGACAAATGCAATAATAGGACCTAGACAGTGACCACTGAGGAATGTTAAAACTGCTACATGAATGGTCAACAGAATGGTTATAATGGGTAAGTCAAAATGGACAGCCAGGCAATACCGCCTGCTGATGTGACGTGACCGTCGGGACACAACAGGATGTACACCGTGCAAGCAGCTAAGTATTCCTAGAGGGGGAGGGGAGAATCTGAATGTAGTCAAGCCTCTAGATCTGACTCCGAATTTACAGAAAACATGAGAGAGATGAACAAATGGACACTATAAAGATGCTCCTTGCTAACCCAAAATACAGGATGTTCCATGGATAAATGACCCATTTTTTCAACTTTGTTTTTGAGGAGGAACTAGATTGCACCAATGCAATCCATGACCTTCATTTTGATTTTGATTCAAACTTTTGTAAAAAGACACCTTTAAGGACGCCTGGGTGGCTCAGTTGTTTGAGCGACTGCCTTCGGCTCCGGTCATAAACCTGGAGTCCCGGGGTCGAGTCCCGCATTGGGCTCCCTGCTCAGCGGGGAGTCTGCTTCTCCCTCTGACTCTCCCCCCTCTCATGCTATCATTATCTCTCTCAATAAATAAATAAAAATCTTAAAAAAAAAAAGACACCTTTAAGACAATCTGAGAAAATCATATGGACTGGGTTAAGATATTATCAACACTGTTAATGTGATAATTGTATGTAGTCTTTTTATTCTAAGATTTTATTTGACAGAGAGAGAGAGAGTGAGCACAAGCAGGGGGGAGCAGCAGGCAGAGGGAGAAGCAGGCTCCCCGCTAAGGAGCCTGATGTGGGGCTCGATCCCAGGACCCTGGGATCATGACCCGAGCTGAAGGCAGCAGCTTAACCGACTGAGCCACCCAGGTGCCCCAGTACTCTTCTTTTTTTAAAAGGC